AATGCACTGCAAAAACAATCTATATTTCTTAAATTAAGTGTATTTGCCCTTAATTTAAATAGGTAAATTAGATTATTTGCTAATGGAATGCATATTTTTTCTCTTAAAATTATATAATAGATAATATACACTTGAAATAATAAGATTTTTCTTATTTTAATGTAAATGTCTTGTTCTATTGGCCAAATGTCTCACTTATCTCCTCAATTAAAAAAATGCACTTATTTTAAGAAAAAATGATTAATTTAGATTAAAATTTTTGTGCAGTGTATTGGCCCCTCCACCACCTAGCAAAGCTAAAGTATATACATTTTTCAGTCACAAAAAAGACAGATTGGAGAAAATTCTGATCAGGATAAACACTTAAATCTCATGAAAGACATCAAGGTCAAGTTGCAAATGTGATTTGGCTAAACACTTTTATTATTTTATATTACATATTTATTATTTATATGCATTGACTCCAACATTTTCTCCAATCTTCCAAAAGCAGGGATTTACCTTCAGTTAGACCAAAATTTAAGAAGATTAAAAAATGTAGCTGTTTAAAACCTAGAAAAACATGCCTGCAGACAATATTTTAACTGTAGTAATTCATATCTGTTTATTTTCTGAGTAGCAATTTCTTTTAAATTAAATTTTGTTCCACATTGTTATTTTGATACTTAACAATTTTAATCTAAACCGTTGACTCACCAAGAGGGACCTGCCTAACAGTAATGTAGACATAATTTTCTCAAACATTTTTAAGAACTGTTCTTGTGGTGCTTGTACAACATCAGCTAATAAAAGAATGAATAAATGCAATATACCTGAGATTTATATGTAAGAAAATGTACATTCTTACCAACACACTCTAGTCTGACTTTGTCGTAGAAATACCCAGAAGGACAGTAGCAAGTATATCCTGCAAAATAATTGGAGCAGTCTCCATTCTTGCAAATCTCAGGTCCAAACATCTCACATTCATTTGCATCTGGAGGAGAAATAGATCCATGCAGTGGAGTCAATATAAATACACAGCTTGGCTGCTTTAACACAAAACTATGCTTTCTTTTAAAAAGACATAATGTATGATAAGACATGACGTAAGATCGCATTTCCTGTTTTTGAAGATTCATCTTCAATGTGTTTACCTCTGAAATGCAGATGTTCTACTGAGGAAGCTAATAATCCACTGCCATGAGGACACAGCTGGTTGTAATCATCTGAAAAAATTATAAAATTCACTCACTGATGAATGAAAATTAAAAACATCTTTTGCTATATCATAATCCAGAGTGAGCCTGGTGCCTTTACCTTGTCCTACAAGAGGACAGGTGTGAATCTCACAGTTGTCCCCCCAGCCGGCGCCGACTGTACAGCAGCACTCCTGCTTGGTGACGTTGTGAGACAAGACGTTGTTGCAGAGGTTGGGATCTTTCAGGTTATAATAGCAGTCCTTCCTCTCTTCAGCAGTGGATGTAAAGACTGGTTTAGAACCATCAACAACTGTAAATAACCAAAGAAACATTTTTTTTTAGGAAGAGAAGGCATTTTTCAAAAATGAGGTATTGTAAAATCAAGGTTTCGTATTTTTTTGCAGTGTTGTCTTATATTACATGTCTCATATTACAGAAATTTAATTACAGAAAAGAGAGAATACCAAAGGCAATTATTATTGCTATTTTCACTCTGGCTCCCTGGAACTTTTCTTTAGATAGAAAACTTTTAAACCAGTCTGTCTGGATTATTTGATTTAGTTATTAGGGATTTTGGGACATCTTTCTACAAAGAATACTATTGTATGAAGACAAAATGCACAAATCATGGAGCATTGCAAAAATGTTCTTAAAGGAGTAAAAACGTCTTAAAGAGTAGGAAAATCAGATGATATGCCAACTTAATGAGCATCTTTACCCTTAAAATAAGATAATTAGATATTAGATATTATGCACTTGAAATAAGCTATTCTTTTCTCTTATTTTAAATATAAATTGTCTTGTTCCATTGGCAAAGTGTCTTACCTACCTGCTCAATTCAAGAAAAAACAAAACAAACTTATTTTTAAAGAGAAATGACTTACTTAGATTAGATTTTTTTTGCAGTGAACAAATGGCCAACCAATAATACTCCAAGAGAGCATAAAGCAAATTAAAAAGTGTTGGCTAGTGAATTATTTTACAAAGGGACGAGCTTGTATTTCTATACATTGCTTCTTATTAAAAAAATCATCACTTGAAAAGTACATTTGAAAGTTACTCAAGTTCCCTTTGTCTAAAATGAAAACTAGTTTGCGGATCCAAAATATTAATTGCGACCAAAAACTCAAAAAAAGAAGGAATCTTAAAAGGGACAAATACTTTAAGTGAAGCATCATCACACTGTAATAGGTGTAAACAGCTGCTGCTTTCTCCCTGCATCCATCAGCAGGCTCTGTGTTCCTCTCGCTGCTCATTTGTCCACAGTGATGGGCTCAGGCATTTCACTCCTAAGCTGCTGGCTTAGCCCAATGGAAACACTGGCATGTGAGTCAACACACCAATTCAGACTCACATGATTGATTCACACACGTCAAAAGCAAACAGAGGAATGTGGCAAAAGTGTACAGAGAGGCATAAACGGGATTTAGTGGCCAAGAAGGAGAAAAAACATCCCGACTATGGGCGCGCCACTCAATAATGTACGCCCAATATTGGGTATACAGTCTGTATTTCTATTGGTTAAAAGTCTTTATCTTTAATTTTGAAATAAAAATATAACATATATTCTACCTCAGTGATTTAGGACAATTCAGAAAAAAAGAAATACAAAGTGTTTTAAGCTGTTGCTGCTTTGAAGTAAATCTTATCTTTGTTTGTCTTCTCCATAAATGTACCAGGTCTGCAGAGTTTTTTTCCTTGGCTCCACTTTAGGACTTTCTTCAGTATTTATCTCAGGGATTAGGTTAATGCAAAAATTGTAGGTGAACTACCTAAAATCAGTCACAGCCCTTAAAACAAATGGATCCAGACAGGTCTGAAGCACAGTTACAGAGAAGGCTATGTCCTCCTCGTCACCCTTGTTTGGATAATAAGAGACGGCTCATTAAATCAGGGAAAACCCCGTCTCCCAACGATAGGATGGAGAATTAAGTCCTCTGACTGCTCGCACTGCTCATGTACCCATAGAGCGGCACTGCCTGGTTTCAGGATCAAATTCCTCATTGTCGTTGGGGCAGATGCACAGGAAGCTTCCGTCAAAATTCTCACACAGGGCCTCCCCGCACAGCGGCGAGCTCATCTCGCACTCGTTCAGGTCTGAAAAAGGCAGGACAGGAGTGCATGAGGTCAGGATCAGCAAAGAGTCGGACATGTAGTAAACTTTATTGGCATACAGTCACAGTATAAATAACAGCGGCGCTGTGTCTACATGCAGCAGACAACTTAGTAAAACACTTGGCAGTACAGACTGAACAAGATCTCAGTATAATCAGAAACTACAGAGAAAATGAAATGGTGGCAGAAATCCAAAGAGCAACTTTGAAAGCATTAAAAAAATCCTTAAGCCCAATATGAAAGTTTGCAATAGAGTCTGGCTACTTTGTAATAATAAAAAATAGAGAGCGGTTGGGAAATGTTGCACAGTACAGAATTGAAGATTTGTACTGTGCAAATGATAGACTGAACACTGCTCTATGAGGTATTTAAAGCATAAAATATTAGCAAAACCTCATCTCTGATCTTTCTGATGTGTTTTATTTTTTGCTCATTATGATACCGTTTTACATTAATGTTTTCTAATAAACCTGCAGTGAGTTTTGGACATAATTTGCTGCAATGGATCAAGTCTATCCGAGCAAAGGGAGCAAAATACATCATTTTACTTCCAGTTTAAATTTAATTCACTTCTTTATTTAGATTTTTTTTTTACATTTTAACAAAAAAGGATAAAAGTTTGTAGTAAAATAGATTTGAAAAAGGCCACCTTTATTAAAACACTAGAGTGTATCTTGCTCACTAGTTTCCACTCAGTTTACAGTGATTATAAATGTATTATTGCTCTAAAATGTAACCATAGTATTGCTGTTTGCTCTTTCTCATATTACTTATCCTCCCTATACACAGTTAAAAATCAGTGCCATGGCTTTTCTTGGCAGATAAGTATTTTTCTTTTTCATTCACATCCTGAGAAGAATTCCTCACTCTGTTTTTCTAGCAACCAGCGCCACCGACCCTGGATGCCCTCCTTTAGCCCAGGTCTGATTCCTACTACAGCCAGCATCGAGTAAGGAGTGTTCCCTTTCTGTTACAAAACCCGCCTTAATATTCCGTCTTAAATCTAGATGTCATTCTTATTGATATGTCAAGGTTTTATTTATGTATCATCTTGCAATTACATCCTGCATCCACATAAAAATGTGGATCGGAAAATATGTTCAGTTAAAACCGGTTCTAAATCTGCAAAAGATCAATTTATACCCATCATGTGAGGAGCTATGACAGCATTCAACTGCTGAAGATATTTAGGTAAGTGTTTGTTTAATAGCTCTTTCAAAATGACTGGCATGACTGATCAACAGTTACTGGAAATATTTACTTTCAGTAATTATTACAAGGTGTCAGAGAACATACTGCCAACAGTTCTGGCACTTATAGAAATACTGGATCATTTTTCCAAGACAATAAATGATTGAGTAGAAGATTATTTTTGTTTATTTTTTTCAGGGTTTGTGCAACAACATATGGCATTTGAGCTCATATTTATACAGAAATAACAAAAATTCCAATGGAATCTCAAAATAAGCTCTGAATTGTGTGTCCTCTCTAGGAAATATACACATAGTTTTACACAGTGGTAAACAGAAATGTTTAACCACACCCCTTTTTTTTAATACTTTTTTCCCCAAACACTTAGATTTTAATGTTTTTCTAATGACCGTTTATCTAATACACAACTCTGGTTAGTAACTGGGAGAAATGATGGTCTTTATAGAACACAGAAGGCAAATTCACAAAGCTTTAGCTATTTTTTTGAGACATGCTCTGGATTCACAGTGCAGGCCGCAATAAATCTTTGTCGATCAGAATAAAATCTCTGTGTCAGTCCAGCAGAAGGGAATACATGCACCATGTTGCACTCATTAGTGCAATTTCTCAGTCACAGACAGCAGATGTATTGAGTTGTACAGTACATATAGAGAAATGTTTGACTTCACTTATTTTAATCAAAAGACAGCTCAAGGTCCTAACCTGGAAAGGAATTCCTTCAACTTTAAAAAAAAAAACATCTACCTGGAGGAGTCTCAACAGAACTGCACTTTCAAATCAATAAATGATGCTGCAGATTGTTAAAGACAGTAGATTGATGCACGTTCAGCAATCCATTAGAAAATAAAATCACACAGTTAAAATCCTGCTAATTTTAAAATAGGCAGACACCTTTTATCAAACCTAGAGGAATACAATGTCTCTTTAGGATTTAAATGATTTGGGTTTCGGCTTGTCAACAATCTGCTGGTATTTTCCACATTCCTATAGTTTGCATTGAAAAATAAACAAATTCAATTTGAAAGAATTATTTAATAAAGGAACATTTTCTTTAAATTGTTTCAGAACAGTATGAAAAAACTCTAGAAAAGCTTAGAATTTGGGTTAAATATTTTCCAAGTATAATTAAGTATGGGGAAAAGGATAAAGAATATAAAAAGTTTTATATCAAAACAATAAATGTCTGCTTGCTTTCTTACTGAATGCTACTGTACATTATATTCTCTCCCTTCTTTTTTCAGCCTTTAATAAATTTATAATACTTTAAGTACCGGTAATAAGTTAAAGAAGATCAAATTTGTCTGCAGCATTATTCCATTGTTATTATTGGTTATTTATTTCAGCTATTAATCTTAAGGCTGGAATGATGCAATAGCTACCCTCATTGAAGTTTACAAACAAAAATAAGGTTTACCCCCTCAGAATTCCTTTACTTAGCCAAGCAGGCAGTGAGCTTGGCTAAGTTAGCTTTCACCTAAGCCAAAATCAGCACTGACTTTCTGCAAACAATTTTACAGGGCACCCTCTGTAATATAACATTTTGCCCTTTGAGAATATTTGGCTTTTTTTCAGCTATAAAATGCAGATGTGGGTTGTCATAAATATGGACAAACCTTCCACTTATAGCACAAATAATGTCTCGTCTTTTTGAGCAAAGTTAAAGGTGATACAATCTTAGAGGTAGGTCTGCCTTATTCTCAACATTCCTATTCAGAAAGCTCTACCTCAGATGTGTTTTAAGTTCTTAAACACTGGATTATTTAATCCTTGGCAGATACATACCCACACATCTGGTAATATCATCCGATGGGTTGGTGTAGCCTTGGTAACAATGGCAGCGGAAGGAACCGTCTGTGTTCTCGCAGACGCCATGATTCCCACAGATGGTCTCATTTGCGCATTCATCAATATCTGAAAGAGTGGTGAGCACAAGATTAATATTGATATTCTCAATCTGCATGGCAGACATTAAAGCAGCTTCCGTGAACATAGACCTCCGCTCTCCAAAATAAATACACCACATGCAAACTGCCAATCAGACCACAATATAACAGCACATCACTGCCTTTGGAACATATCAGAAACAATGTACGGATGGGGTCATTCCTTTGCATTTAATCTTTTTACTTGAAATATTCAATTTGCTGCCAACAAACAGAGTGTGGATCTGGGAAGCAGGAAGTTAATGTTCTTCATTGTGGCGAAGGAGTGAGAACTTCCAGCCAGCATCCAGATGTTTTACAAGCTGCTTGGGGAAAAATAGACTTAAAATCTGGCATCAGGGCGTGTTTCGACAGTTTTTTGGCAGATATTGAGTCCAACCTTATCAATACATTTTCTAAAATGATGAAATTGTTAAAAAATAAAATATCTTCTGAGAGCTGAAGGTGTTTTTTTAGAAACTCTGGCAGATGTCAGGCACATTGTACGGCGGTAAATCCTAAAGCAAGTTTAATAAATGTGAAGAAGTACATGCTATTTGTCAGTGTGAAGGAGGCTTGTCGAAGCTGTTAACATTGGACCTTCTCACAGATCTGCTGATTCCCCACCAAGTGCTGTTTAAAGGCAACATTTGTTAGCAATTTCTTACATACATGATTTAGTATTTCTTGGCATCTCCTGCAGCCGGATGGAGGCCAAAGGCCGATACGGCAGTAGGATGAGGTTGATTATAATTGTTTAAAAAGCAATCAGAGAGTTTATTGTTCACACTTTTGTCACATGAATTTGTCCTCTGCTCAGTCAGGCATGCCACTGATTTCGGTTTGTCTGTTCATAACTTGCCAAGCAGAGTGGCATACATTTTCAGGTTTCAGTTTTTTCCTTATCTTAGCAAAATTAAATTAGGGTAAAACATCAAGTCAATTTAAGTTTTAAATGAACTATTTGATAGAGAAAATGCTCCCTGTTCTTTACACACAATAAACTACCTCAGAAAGTATTCATATGCTTGAATTTCCTCAGGATTCTTTACAACAAGTTTAGTTTAATGGTACTTTGTGTGATAGGCTTACTCAGAGTAGTGAGTAATCCTGTGAAGTAAAAAATTAAAAGCTTTGAAATGGGCTCCAAAACACTTTACAAACAGGAAACTGAAATGTGTTGCATTTGTGTTCTTAGTGCTTTCAGTCCCTTTAATGTGGCAAATCTGTAGAACATCATCAAGGGCTTGCACTTTAAATAATCTAAATAAGGAGTGCTTGTTTGAGGAAAAAAAAATCAACTCATGGAACAAGTTGGGGTGCTGCAGTTAAGACGTTCACACAGGAGATTGGAAATTGGTTGAAATTGGTCATCGAAAAGATGAGGTTCTAAACCATTGAGTTGGATTTATTAACGATAATGATAATAAAATGAAAATAATTAGCATAATATTTAATGTTTTTAGTTGCACACTAAATAAGTATCCTAAAGTGCTCCAAATAGAGTTAAAAAATATTGAAAATAAAAGTAATATGAAAATTATACATTAATTATAAAACCCGAAAAAGCTCCCTTTGACCCCCTGCTGACAGAAGAGGAGTCGGATTTAGAGCGAGATTATGCTCTAAACAGCTGGATTTACCTCCAACCCCTCACAACTTATTTGAGACTATTTCCCTGCTAAAGGATGAAGCCTCCAACATGTTTTCTTCTTAACTTCATCCACCAAACCATTTCTTTTTCCCAGAGACCGTAACCCCCACCTCATCAGGCTTTTGCTGCGGTTACTGAACAGCAACAATCAGACTTTCAAAATCTTGGATCTTGATTTACTGTATTCCCCAACCCTGTTTAAAAACCGCTCCGCAAAATTCTTGAACCTGTGATGAATAAAAATCTCAGATCAGGGATAAACCAGATGCAGGTCACATTTTTCAGAAACAAATTTATTAAAACTTTGGGGGTTAAGGATACCTTTACAAAGCACTGTCCTGTCTAAATAAATCTTTATTTTGCCTCTGAATAAATGCTGTGTCAGTTGAGGAAAGATAGAAAGAGGCCCAGAGAAACCACAACTTGTTCGATTTGAACGGTGCACACAGCCAAAGCCCTGTCTTCTCCTGCAGAACAGACAACTGTCTTCGCAGAGCTCTGGGGAGAGTTAATCCTGAGCCAGAGTTTCTGTTCTCACTTGGAAATGCCTCTTACATACCTCAGGGGTCACAGACAGGGGCTCTCACAAGCTAATAAAACTGCAGAGACAAAATTGTCTTTGTTGATTGAAGAACTTCACACAGGAAATACTAAAGACCAACATTTCTAGAATAAAACTGTGGTCTACACTGCTTATAAGATTCGAATATGAGGCATGAACAGACACATACTTGACCAAAAACCTTCAGTACACTTGATTTGCATGCTTGCTTGAGAATTGAAGTGAAGCTGAGAAAACATTTGGAGAAATATTCCTGATGTAGAGTCTAGGGTATAATTATTGGTAAAGAGCTAATGAAGCATTTTCATAAATAGTGCAGAACTCAATTGGAGTTGTGAGTGTTGGAATCTTACCGGCATCCAGTTGGGAGGTCTTAGAGGGAAAGCTAATAAACAAACTCATCAGTGTCTGGAGGCAGCATTTCATTCATGTGTAAAACGGAACCTAAATCTGCTGTAAACCATATGCTGCTATGAGATGCAATCATGTTATCATCCCTGGAGGAATGCAAGCATTGAAAACACAGCAACTTTATGGCCTTTATTGTTTTTATATCTGAATATTTGAGTGAAAGGATTGCTTGACAAGCCATCTGGATGTGTCATATAATGAGAAAAGCTTGGTAATCACAGCACTAATGGGTTTGAGCAAAACAAACAAACAGAAAAATCATATAAATGAATATAAAAATACTGTTTTCATGAAATAAAGATTTATTTAAGGACACTTTTTGTAAGAAAAATAACTGAAGGAGGAAAGAGGGTGAGGAGTTTAACAGAGATGGGAACAGCTGATGTTAACAAGCATGCATCCTTGTAGTCTGACCCCGGAAAACCTGCTTCCTGGATCCAGTAGTGGTTTGATTTCAGTATGGATAGGAATTATAAGGACATCATTGTTCATGTGTCCATATAAGTATAGTAACGAGGAAAATACACAAATATGAGATTAATAAAGTCCACACTTTCCCATACTGTGTAGGAAAGAAGTGGACTTATTTTTAAATGTCAGTAGGTGAGGACTGGGTGAGGTATTTTCTTTAATGGAATACTTGTAGAGATTTAGTTGTGCTGCAGTTTGAACTTAAACACTTTATCTACCTTTGATGGAACATAAAATCCTGCATGGCTGTGATTCCAAAGCCCAATTCTCAAGATCCTCTCTCCTGCATGTCTTACACATTTCCCTGCAGCCACACACTTGACTTATATGAATGAGTGATGTGCTACAGAGGAGAATGCAGTCTGCTGTTTCAACGGGGTCACATGAAAAATGTGTCTCTAGGACAAATGTGTCTCTAGGTAAGAAAGAACAAGGGCAGACTAAAAAGCGGATTTTTATTTCTACAATATATTTAATGGACAATCAAAAAATGATCAGCGAGGCAGCAACACAGAGGGAGCGGTTGTAATTTCAGGTTTTTACTATTTTTCATATGCATTTGCTTAAAAATCTCCTGTATTCCACATTGTGAAAGGAGAAGGGAAAAAAAAGACGAAAGCCTCTTCCTCTATAAAACAGTAAAATAAAACCTAGATGAAGCCAAACTTAACCATCTACTACCATTTTAATCCTAACCTTAACCAAAATTTAATTCACAACGTTTCTCTAAACTGACTTGTTTAAATGTGAGTCCACAACATTAAGGCCAGCATTTGGTCCCCACAAGGCCTTTTCTAAAGTCCCTATATGTTCTATAGTCCACAGGTCCTGTCCTCAGAAGGTGAGTAAATATGTCAAAAACAGTCCTTAATAGGTAACATAAATAAGTACACACACAGACCAATAGAAATTATGTGGCAAAAATCATGTGTGGTTCCTTTATATAGAATCATCTAGAGTTCATGTTAAGGTGAAAAAACTGAAGGGCTCCAAATTCCTGTCTGTTTTCCATCCAGAGCCCTAATTTGTCTGCAGAATCAGTGAGGTTGACAAAGGTTTTCCTTTTTAACCAACACACTTGATCCAAATATGGATCAAAACCAATAATAGACTGGCTTCACCTGAGGTAATTTAAAGTCTTTAAGGGAGTTGGACTGCAGGATGATATCTGACAGAAATTATGTGCAGTTGTCTGAAGAGGCCCTTTTGGCAAATGATGTCGTCATAATCCTGAAACTTCCAAAAATTATGACTTACCAGTAAAACTACTCTAAAAAAAAAAGTCACCACTGGGTTTAAACACTTTAAAAAATAGGTTATAACCCCCCAAGGATATATCATATCAAAGGCGTAAAATTTATAAAATGTTTTGTTCACAAGACAAAAGTGATGACAAGTTAACTGAAATATTTATGATCTGCTTATGGTAACAGCAACAGGGCTTATCTGGTATATCATCAGCATACAGCCAGGATGAAAAATATTTGCAAAAGTTAGCAAAGATGTTAAAGTAACTAATTCCTATACATTTATGAGGTTAGGAGGTTGGCAAGATTAAAACCGCAGACAATTTCCTCTTTAAGGCAAGCCTTATTAAAAACATGGCATAGCTTAAGGGAAGTTATGACTATGAGTGTGACTAAAAACTAAAAACAATTACCACAGCATCATGGAGGGCTTGTGTGCCCTCATTATAGCACAATTGCGGGTGACGTTTGCGGTGGAAAAAAAACAACTCTGTTTTTCCTTTTTATGTCATGGCGCCTAAATCTAAATGAGAGCAAGGAGCAGAGCCAACGACAACCGCTGTCCCCTTCGAAGGCGTAACACCAGCCTTTGCAGAAACAGCAAATTACAGCGTCTGCTCCCTTTTTAAATATCGGCTGATTTTTACAAGCGGACAAAAAAGCCATGAAGTAAGTGAGCTCCCCTCCTTGGATTTTTATTGAAATGACGGCAGCATCTCCCACATATCCCCATTGCGGGGTGAAACAAGCTGCTGTTGAGTGAGGTGTTGGGCAATCTCTAGGTCATATAGCAAGATCTTCAACTGAAACTGTGAGTCAGAGCTGTATTAGGTGTGTTTGATGCTTATTTTCTTTAGAACACAACCAGCATCCAGGTTGTATTAGGCAGACGGTCAAATAATTCACACCTCATTACTTTAACAAAGTTAAATGCTGCAGGGTGTCTTCGGCCAGGTTTTATTACTCTTTACTAATATTTCTAAACGGTCTTCAGTGCAACCGATGAGTTCAGTAAATTTTCACATTTTCTGATGTTACAAAAACATGCCTGTGGTAACTCTGGATGAGCTGCAGAGATCTAAAGTTTGTCTGGGAGAAAATGAGACTCAACCCGAGAACTATGAGACCAAGGTTTGGTCAAACGACACCAAAATATATAATAATTTTTATATATATTTTTTTATATAATAAAAATATTAATATATTTTTGGCCTATGTGTAAAATTCTATGCTTCCAAAAAAAGCCAAGTACTTATGAAATAATTGGAAGAGATACTTGTCAGACTAAAATAGAAAGAAATAATGTAAAAGGCTGTAAACAGAACAACGTTGACTAATTGGAGTTCACAGAACACCAATAAAAAGCATGACCTATTTTCTTGTTGTTCGAAGGGATATTGCTTTTATAGTCATTTATACTGCTTAGTTTTGCTCCACGTGGCCTTTCTAAAAAAATAAATCGTAAGGGTCTAGAAGTAAGCAGGTGGTTTCCGTCAGTTCTTATCCCATCATATACCTCTGCTCTAATTACCTTGAGTCAGGCAGACAACATTATGAACTAATGATCCTAAAGGCGGTCAAACATAGTCAGGAGAGCGCTGACAAAACAACAGAAGCTCCTTCTGTTTCTACTTAGTGCTGCAGCAGCATGTTCTCCCTCCTAAACTCCATCAGTTGAGTACTGTACCAAGAGTGTGTTAGTCTATGCTGCATATTTGCTAAATCCAGGAAAGATCAGGCTTCAGCTTCTGTCTCTAGGTGCTAAATGAACTCCATTGGTAAAAATATGATACTGTAATCAGTTTCTGACCTCGCATTAAGGTTTCCCTGATGGGACTCTATTGTATGTATGCTCCACATTTTAAGAGTGTTTTCATTATAATCAGGATTGGGTCTGTGTACGGGAAGACTGGAAAGGAGAGATCAAAGATTGTTATATGTCTCCACCATGTTGTTGATGTAATTTCTTTGTGGAGAGAGGGACTGTTCATACACAGTGGGAGGTTCTAAAATTAACTGAAATCAATTGCCTTCAGTAGTAATTTATGTTTAAAACAATTCTACCTGCATTTAGACTTAGATTCAACTTTATTGAGTCTACTGTAGTTTATTGAGCTTACTATAATTTAATTGTAATGCACAAAACAACTGAGAGCCTTAGGGTCTTTTCTAGCAACCAAACAACACAGTAGACTATAGAACACAGAAACATGTCAGAAACAAAGCTGTGGGGAATATCAAGCAGACAAGACAGCTATCCACCATGTTGATTATCTAATTGTAAACTTTTTAATCAATAATCGGGATATGGATGGAGTATAGCCCTGTTATGAACCTACAACCATTCACAGAAACTGACACAGTGGGCAAGGATATTAATCAATGAAGCTGCTAAGAAGCCCATTATACCTCTGGAGGAGCTGCAGAGATACACAATTCATCCAGGGGAATCTATTAATGAGATAATACAAATCAGGCCTTTCTGGATAGGACACAACCAATAAGCTATGCTAAAAAGAATCACATAAGTACTTTCACTTGCAATATGCCTTAAGTCAGGGGTCTTCAACGTTTTTAAGGCCAAGGACCCACAAACTGATGGCGAGATGGAGCGGGGACCCCTAATTATATATATTGTATGAAAATGTGTTATACCAAACTGGTCATGTAACGAAATTTCTCCCTGGGATTATTAAAATATTTCTGATTCTAATTCCTTGTTGATGGGACAGGTGTTGTGAATAAAATGGTGCCCAGCTTGAAAGAGCTCCGGTGTGTCGCTGAATTTGTGCATTGATGACTGAAAGACATGTTCTGCTTCCATTTATCTGTTTACTACAGTGTGTTGAATTAATTTTAATACAAATTTAAAGACATTTCAATTAGTGGAAAAATTGCAGGGGGGGAATATAAAAAAAGTCTAATCAACTAAAACTTTCGCTACCCCCATGCAGACCCCATAGGGGTCGCAAACCCCATGTTTAAGACCTCCGCCTAAAGTCAAGTAGGGGACATTACAAACACCTGGAAGAAGATCATTTTTTTCAGCTGAGAGGAAAGCAGATTGAGTATCGCTTAATTTAGGGCGGGTCGTTTTATGCTATGGAGATGCTTTAGATTTACATTCTTTATCCAGTCTAATTGATTATGAGCCACTTTGCAAACGAGGATTAAAAAAAAAATGCAGACACAAAGTATTAACTAAGTGGGGCTGTACAGCATGTAAGTGCATGCCTTATTTTCATTCCCCTTCATAATTATGCCCTAGTTTATACTAGTCTATCAAATAAAATTCCAATACAAGAGCTTGTGGTTGTAACGTTACACAATGTGAAAATGTTCAAGGGGTTTTAACATTCTCGTAAGGCACTGTACATCATTTAATCACTCACCGCACTCTCCATCAAGCATGCCAGGCTGGCACTGCATGAAACACCGGTAGGAACCGATAGTGTTCTCACAGCTCCAGGTGCCACACACTGAGCTTCCAAGCTCTTTACACTCATCCTGGTCTGCATAAAAGAAAAACAACAGAAAACATTATTTTTCAAAATCTCACAAAGAAAGGCTCTAAATTTAGCTTCATTGTGAGTCAGAAACAGATGCACACACCCCACACACATAGTTGTATTCCCCCTACTGCTCGTGCGCTCATAGTGTAATGTCTGCTCAACAGGAGTTGGCCAGGACGTCTGTGGTGTAGCTGTCCGAAGCAGGCAACAAAAATGGCCAAAAACAATATTTTCACAGTCACCAAAGAACTTGTGAAGGAGCTAAATGGAGACGTTCCAGAGGGAAAAATGCCTGCTGCTCACAATGGGGTCATTCATACTTCCCTCAAGGGAGTGGGAGGTCAGGGCTTCAGCCATACAAAACTCTCAGCCTGGGGATCATGGAGGAAAGCCTCTACGCCAATGTTGGGCACTTTCACAGGAATGGAGTCCTCATTTTCGATAGATAATCAATCTTAGCCAATGGCACTACGCTTAAGCCCAAATGTAGCATGACCATCAAACAGCTAACACTGACACACTGGTTTACACATTGAGAGGAAAGTTCAGGGAAGAGTTTGAGATCAGCAACCACTATGATGGGACCACTACAACTGGACATCAGCAGAGCTTCAGCTCATTTTACCTTCACACTCAGCTGAGTCAGTGCTGAACTTGAAGCCGGCTTCACATAAGCATAAGAAAGAGCCAGCAGTGTTCAGACACTCTCCTTGAATGCACACATCCTCTCTGCTGCACTCGTCCACATCTATGGTAGGAATAAAGAAAAGAGAAAGGAAAAATTACAATAGGTAATCCAATATACACTCTTATATTGGAGCGTATACTGGATTTCAGTGTTCATATATAAGCTAAACTGGACAAACAAATAGAAGCATTTAAAAAAGTCTTTTATTTAAGGTAAAACTGTTTTTATCTTTTAACCTCTTTGAGCAGGTTTTATACTCTTTCATTTCTAGCCGTCAGGACTACTACAATGCACTTCATTCCAGCATTAGCCAACAAGCACTTTCTCGTCTGCAGTTAGTCCAAAACACAGCGACTCGTCTTTTAACAGGGATCAGAAAACATCAACACATTACACCAACTCCTGTATCTCTACACTGGCTCCCTGTTCGTTTAAGAGTTGATTTTATGATTTTATTGTTTGTGTTTAAAGCTTTGAATGGCATGGCTCCTCAATACATTACTGACCTCCTCCAGATTTACTGTCCGACACCTGCTCTAAGGTCTGTGGGCCATCTTCAGCTAATCTTCAGCTAATTGTGCCTAAGGCGTAAAACCTGCATTTGGCCCCAGACTTTGGAATACTTTGCCCCTCCATAACCTAACAGCCTCCACAGTAGAGTGTTTTAAGTCTCATCTAAAGACCCACTTTTACTCTTTGGCATTTAACACTGTATAATTGTGTGGTCCTCTGTGTCTTATTTATTTATGTATTAATTTTCAACTCTTACTTCTTTTTTGGTTACATTCCTTCCTTTTTTTTTTTTTTTTTTTCTGTTTGTTTTTATGTACAGCGCATTGGAAAAATTCCTTGCTGTTAAATGTGCTACGGTATATAAATAAATTGATATATGCATTTTTTTTTCAGTTAAAGATGATTATTTCAGCATTATTTCATATTCATTATTGGTGATTTATTTCAGCTATTCATCTTAAGGCTGGAATGATGCAATAGCCAACCTCACTGAAGTTTAGAAACAAAGTAAGAAACCAGAAACACAATCCACATGTTGTAAATCATATATACACCGACTCTGACGTTTGGTTAAATATCCTTCAGCAAGTGGCAAAGAAGTCACAGACTTTTAAGCTATCAGCAAACTTCTGGATCAATTCTGGCCCGATATTTGAACAGTCCCCTTAGCAGAAGTGGTAGTTCTAATTTAAAATGCCTGGTTTTATAGAAAATAGTTTTTTTTAAGTTTAGTCCATGCATTTTTTACATTTAAGGTCAGGCTCTTTCCAGATATTTAAAAAGGTGTAATGTTATCCAGATTTATTCATCAAAAAAAAATCTGTGTTGATGTATGTTGAGGGTCATTGCCTTATTGGAACGTCCTTTTCCATCCAAGATTTAAACATGTCACCTAAACTCTCATCTTTCTATGAAATGATTTTTGTTTGAATGTTCATGAACAATGAACAGAGGCCACCGACGCTCAAACCAGTAATAAACTGCCAGATGCCTTAATAGCAGCCTAAGTGTTCACTTTTAGCTTTCCACAGAGAAATGCTGCATTAAAATTGACGTCTTAAGAATAATCTAAATTTGCAGCTGAACACTAAAGCATCCAAATGCAATCTGGAGAGAAGATTAATGGTCAGACAAGCAAAAAAGTGGAGCTATTTGGATAACAAAGAAAAGAATGAATAAATGTGTAAAAACTGTAAAACATCATGCCACATGCTCTAGGAAGCATTATTCTGAGGGTTAAGTCTCTTTAACTCCCTCCCACATACACACACCCGGGAGAGTTTAAATGCATTAATAAATATGAGTTTCAAGCTGATGATGATTATAAGAAAACTTCCGATTTAATCTAAAGCCTCTGAGCCTGTAGAAATGAGAGGTGCATGCTTGATTAGGTATAATTGGAGTGTAATGACAATGATTAACATGGTAAAAACATGGTGTGATAGGAAAGAAATATGGAGAAATAATAATTATCATATTTTTTTAAATCAGTAACAATCATATTATGCTTAAGGAAATAAAAAGGTAACAATTTAAAGCATAAAAATGTAAAACAGATCATTTAAGCCACCAGAACAGAAATGCTTTAACTTGATGAATAAAGCTTTAACTCATGAATCTTTGAAAAGGGAAAGGTTTATGGTGCAACTTGCTAATCTGGATCAAGTTAAAAAGAGTTTCAGTCTTTTGTCAGTTTTTTATTATGCATTTTCCATTTTGGGAGCAAGCATCATCTTGGTATTACATGCCAAAGCCCATCTTTCATTCATATGACCTCACAAACCCTTGTCCTCCCCTCTTCCTCTCCCTCATGTCAGAGAGGTCTGGGTTTCATTGTGTCAGCACTGTACACACTGTGGCAGACTGCAAGAAAACATACGACACCCGCTGATTTATAGTATAATTAGGGCTCAGTATTTGCTGTGGCGGCAAGCCAAAGTACCTGACACAGCCTGGGCAATTTGCTCAAAGTGTTTGGATGATATCAAAAGTGCTGCATAACTAACACTTTGGTTGAAAGATGTCCACATTTTACGACTAACTATAGATCTCCACTGAAGTGAATCTTGGCAAGAATAATGCTGGACCTCGCCTGCATTTAAGGGAGTTACCTGCCTCAGCTCATGTCTGGATAATGCAAGGCTAGACAATCTCACATTTAGTTAACTCCACTTATTACTTGAAAA